TTTTGTATTTCAGCTGCTCTCATAGGTGTGCATTCTCCACTGTGGTCTCAGTTTGTATTTCCCAAGTGGTACCCATCTTTCCACATATCTGCCATCCATACTTCTCTACTGTAACATCGCTACATCTCCTTTGCCCATTTTCCTTTCTTTTCTCTTTGATTTTTGAGACAGGATTTCTCTGTGTAGCCCTGGCTGTCTTGGGACTCAGTCTTACACCAGGCTGGCCTCAAACTCAGAGATCCATCTGCCTCTGTCTCCCAAGTGCTGGGATTAAAGAAGTGTGGTACCACTGCCCAGCTACTACTGATGTTCTTACATTCCTCATTAATCAGATATATTACAAATATTTCCTCTAATTCTATAATTAAAAAAAAACTCAGGATGGGTCTTTCACATTTTTAAAATGTTTTCATGAGACAGGGTCTTGCTTAACAGCCCAGGCTGGCCTTGAACACACAATTCTGACTTCATCTTGCAAGTCCTGGCCTTACAGGCATGTGCTACCATGAGCTCCTAGAATCTTCCACCATTTTATTAGGTCTAAGTTATTGATTTGTTCATGAGAATGGCTGCAAGCTTTTAGACTAAATTCTAGGACCTGAAGATTATTTCCTGTTTACTTTTATAAGTCTTTTCACTCGGAAAATATACCCAAGTCCATGATCCATTTTGAAGATTTAACATTTAAAATGTGATACTGAGGTCCACGTTTGTGGGGGTTGATTTTACTCATCAACTTGGTTGTGCCTTTGCCGGGAGCCTGCGGGCCAGCTAGCCTTGGGTCTGCCGCTTCTAAGTAGAAAGCACCTTGAACAGATACCCTGCCTCAATAAGGAAGAAGAAGATGAGAAGTGCTCTCGCCTCCACATGAGTGCCAAGGCACATGTGTGCCCTTCCATTAAATAAATACGTTTTCAAAGGCTGCTTTTCCACTGAGTTATATGTGTATCTTGAAAAGAAATCAAGTGGCCATTATTATGTGAGTCTCCTGGGCTTTTCCATTCTGTTGCTTTATGTGTCTGCCCCTCTGTCGACACCATATTGTCTTGATTATTGAGGATGTGTAATAGTGCCAACTGATTGCCTTCACTTTATTCTCTCTCCTTCTCCCCTACCTCCTCTCCAGTACTGGGGATCAGACCCAAGGCTCTGTGCATATCAGGCAAGAACCCAGTCCTCTCCCCCTTTATCCTTACTGGTTTTGAAACACACATAGAAATTGTACAAATTTATGGGAGAGGCAGTATGTTGTTCCTATTATTCCCAAAATGTCTATTTGTTTTGATAGATAATTAATTTTGAGCTATTCTTAGAGGAACGAGGAAAAGTATGTCTACTCAAACGTGACTTTCAGGATCTCACCTTTCCAGTTAGTTATGAAATTGCATTGTTCGAATGCAGTGGTGTTTAGAAGTCACATGATAATATGCTATCTTTGTTGAGCAAGTGGCTCATACTCTTGTAGTTTTGACATGTTGGGGCAGAGCATCCACACAGTTCTCTAGCTGCTGAGCCCGTGGCAGATTACTTGGGTCCATATTGCTTGAGGACTAATAGGTCTCTGGGGTTGCTTAGAATTGCAATGGATGTTTAAGAGGCTATGGAGAAATATGTGGTAGCAACTCTCAGAGATGTCACTGAGACAATAAGAAAAATGAATTATCCATCTCAAAAGCTGGCAAATACTAGATACTCACTAGATGCACGTGTGAATGAAAGTGCTAAATAATGCTAATTGCTTCTAAGTGATGACTGTTGAGTCAAGTTGTATGATCTAGACTGGGTTTTAATTGTTCTTTGTGTGAATGTGCACATACTTGTGTATGCACACATTCGCACGCGTGTGTACATGTTTGAAGCCTAAGGATTTTTCTCAGGAGCCATTTAACTTATTTTTTCGGACAGGTTTTCTCACTGAGATCTGGTGCTGGTGAATTAGGCTAGGTTGACTCTCCAGGAAGTCCCAGGGATCTGCCTGTCTCTACCACCCCACTGTTAGAATTACAAGAGCCCACTACCATACGTGGCTGTTTTCCATGGGTTCTTGGGATTGAATTTGGATCCTCACACTTGTTCTACAAGTCTTTTTCTAACTGGGTTATTTTTCCAGACCTGGGAAGTGTGGTCTTAGGGAGGTAGGGGTTAACTTGTCAGTAGGGTAGGGGCTAGAGATATTTTTGAAAGAAAATGGACAGAATTTGTTAGTAGCCTGGAGTTGAAGGAGAACAAAAGCCAAATACACTCTGGCTCAGATTCCCGGCGACAGGGAAACAAGATAAATATAATGAATTTGATTTCATATCTTATAATCTTAAGCTGATGGTAAAATATCCAAGCACACACATACAGTAAGTATTTGGAATAGTTATGGTCGAGGAAGGCATCTATTGGAAATTTCGTTTCGCCTGTCAGTGTCCAGGAGATGTAGGCTCTAGTCCCAACTTTGTAGCAAGGAAGCCATAAGATTTAAAGCAATTCAAAAATTTCCTCTGTGTTTTGATTTCCTCATCTGTAAAGTGGGGTGCTTTGATAGGTGGTATTCTTTGAACTACTGTTTATTTCAGCAGAGGATCAGTGTTTGGAAGGAATCTTACTCTTACTGAAATATTTTCCTTTCTGCTATACAAGTCTAGGATTCTGTGATTTCTTACGATATCTGCCTTTGGTGGCTGGCTTCTTATTTAGCACCTACCTCCTATAACCCCTCCCTGCCCCTGGCACACATCAACAGAGCTTATCAGTTTATATCATGTCAGATAGTCAGAGAGGGGTAGCTGTGCATGTTGGGTCTCAGTCCTTCCAGACTTCCTAAGCATTTCTGTCTTTTGAGCTCTCCTCCACTCTAGAGAGTACAGTAGGCAATAGCAATTAGGACACAGGAAGGGAGGCTTTATGGTATATTAAAGCCTTTGGGTTTTATTTATGCCCCGTTTTCCCAGCATTCATTCCATAGATGTGGACAGTTGAAGAAAATGGGTGAGAATGGAGGGAGGGAAGGATGAGAATTTGCTAGAAGTTGAGATAGCAACAAATGTCTTTCAATAGCAAACCCAGACCCCCAGCACTTGACACTGAAAAGATTTTAGGGCTTCATTTGGACTTTCTGGAAACCAAGCACTGCTGTGACTCTCCACACAGCACCCAAAGCTGTTCTCTCTTCCAGTTTCCATCAGTAGGATCTGCATCATTTTACTACATATCATCAAATTTTTATTTTTCCAAAGCAAAGATTATATTTTAGATTTAAATCATGACAATCTCATTATAAAAATAAGGAAAGGAAAATAATACTTAATCCCATAAGAGTTAACTACTGTTAAAATTTATATTTATTCCTTCCTAGTCTTCTACACACACACACCCACATCCCCCCATACACACACACCCACATCCCCCCATACACACACACCCACATCCCCCCATACACACACACCCACATCCCCCCATACACACACACCCACATCCCCCCATACACACACACCCACATCCCCCCATACACACACACCCACATCCCCCCATACACACACACCCACATCCCCCCCATACACACACACCCACATCCCCCCATACACACACACCCACATCCCCCCATACACACACACACCCACATCCCCCCATACACACACACACCCACATCCCCCCATACACACACACACCCACATCCCCCCATACACACACACACCCACATCCCCCCATCACACACACACACCCACATCCCCCCATACACACACACCCACATCCCCCCATACACACACACACCCACATCCCCCCATACACACACACCCACATCCCCCCATACACACACACCCACATCCCCCCATACACACACACCCACATCCCCCCATACACACACACACCCACATCCCCCCATACACACACACCCACATCCCCCCATACACACAGTATCATGCCATATGTTCATATGCTCAGTTGTATATCTTCCCTTCCTCCCTTTAATTTAGGCTGCTTCCCCATGTTATTAAACATTCTTCTACATTTGATTTGAAATAATGATACAGTATTTTGTAGTATATAACTATCTAGCATTTCATAATATAAATGTTTTTCCCATGAACATTTTGGATGTTTTTACTTTATTTCTAAAGGATGCTATAATTAATTTGTTAGTAGTTTGTTTATCTATTATATTCAACTATTTTGTATTAACACTAATTATACATATTTATAGGGCATAATGTTATAGTTTCATAAATGTAGACAATGTACAATGACTCAATCAGGGTAATTAGCATGTCCCTCTCCTTAAACACTTTATTACTAACACATAATGACTGTGCCTTTGAAAAGATGGATTTCTTAGAAAAAGCCTCTCAAGGGGTAGAGGAGAAGAACACTGCTAATGTTTTTGGCATGTTTTGCAGTTGCCCTTGTGTGTTCCTACAGGTGCTGGACAACACCTAATTTTCTGCATTAACACAGAATCTTTCAGCATACATGGACACTATGTATTTCAACTCAAGAGCATTTGCTCATCCCCTCATGAACATTGCATTTGAACCTTTCCAGACTTTCTAAGCTGTTCCTAAGCAGGAGAAACTGCTGTATACTGGGTAATTAAACTCTCTAGTTAGGCCAAGTAAATGCCAGATAAGACACATATGAAGATGATTAAAAATGCAAGTGGAAAATAACAACACATGGCCAGTGCTGACACTACTTAGCCTTTAAATAGTTACTCATTGGAGGAAGTCAATAATATATCTAATTAAAATAATTTAGACTCCATGGGGAAAAAAAAAGGATGTATTAACCGTACTCTTGCAAAACACAGTGGTTGTGTTGTGATTATTTAGTGTATTTTCTGGTATAAACTAGAGTTGGAATGGAGAGGTATATTACAAATTCACATCTTTGAAAGGAAAACAAAACAAAAAACACCTCACATGGGTGGAAGGACAATTTCTGCTTTGGTCAGTTCCCTTACAAAGTTAACCTGTTGGTTATCGGAGAGGGGGACACAGAACACACAGAAAACTAACCTCCTTCTGGCAGCTGGGGATAATTTGTCAGTCTCCTTTGAAATGTGGCTTTGTGCTCACTGCTGAAGGCAGCTGGAAAAGAAAAAGCATGACAGACAAAAGCTGAAATCCACATGAAGAAAGGTCTTTTCCCCAAAAATTACTGCCTGAGTTAGCAACGGTCAGAACGGAAAGTGCATGTCTGTCTTCCCCGCACCATTCACATCTGGTACTAAAGAAGGCCCCTATGCTATGGGAGGCATTCAGAATGGCTGTTGACCTGAATAGGGCTGCTGGATAGCATCGAAGCAAGCCTTCTCGCCCTGTGACAGATTACATGCTCAAATCTGTCCACAAGGAAGTCTAAAAGAGTGTTAGTGCCATCTTTGGAAATCTGGCAAAAAGCATTTACTATGTTGAAACGGCAGACCTAATTCACATACAGTGGTGATAGGCTAAGGGATAAAGGCTTAAGTATATGATTTCAAATTACAAGGTGACCGGCAGAATGACTAAAACAATACTGTCAAACTGGAAACAGCTCAAATGTGCCTCAACTGATTGACTGATGAATTCAGGTACATCCATGCAACAGAGTCGGCAAACCCAAAAGAATGGACCATTCATAAGTGAATCTCAAGACATTGATAAATGAATAAATGACTCAAAATAGTTATCATAGGTGAAAGGACACAGTGACAAATGGTTGCATACAGCATGATTCCATTTCTACAGCGCTATGAAAAGACAAAACTGAAGTGCCATGAACCTTTTCAGCAGTTGCCAGGCCACTCAGGAAGTAGGGAGGTATTCATTTGGACCATGGAGCTACTCAACTGTGGTGTTTGTAACAGTAGCCAAGCGACTTCAGATTTTTGCCTAAACTCATAGAACTGTATCTCAAAAGTATAAAGGTTACCACAGTCTACTTTTCAAATGGGGAAACAAACAAACAGCAACAAAACCCTTTAAAAACCCATAAAATTGTTACCAAAGAAAAGTAAGAGAAGTAACAGAAAGGGCTGGAGGACAATAAAACTAAGTAAGATAAGTCTTCAGTTTTTACAGCAGAGAGTCAAGTGATAAGGGCTAAACAGGACAGATCAGGAAGCAGGCGTCCAACCATTGTTTACAGATATTTAAGCACCCAGCGGAGAAGTTGAAAATAGGATCTGATAAAAATGAGTGCCTTGGAGGAGGACTGGTGTGGGGTGGGGAGAGGTAAAGAACTGTTTGTTGTTGTTGTTTGCTCGTCTGTGTTCTTTTCCTTTCCTACAACTCTATTTGAAAGTTGTAAACAGTAACTGCTTATTACTTTAACTGGAAAAGTAATGGCGTGAAGAATGCCTGGGATGAGGATGGAGGGACCTAATTTTTCACAGGCTGAGAACCAACCAGCCTTTGTCCTCTTTCAGCCTGGGGTTCTATATCTGTATGATGAAGGGTTTGGACTAGAGGATCTTTCATACCTAATGAAAATCACAAGATTAGACTGTCTTCACAGCCATGATTCTGTGTTGTATTTGAAGCTTAGAAATAGACTTTCCAGTTTTAAAGCTGGAAGGGACTAAGTCGTTCAGTTAAACCATAAAACCACCCAAACTGGATAAGAGAGGCACATGAAAGGGTGGCAAATTGCTAACAGTCAGGCTTGGAGCTCAGGGTCCTGGCCATTGTACTACACAGCTTCTCCCAGACCTAATGGAATCGCTGGTTAGTGTCAAATCTGGCAAAAATGTCCTGGGATAACACCAGGGGTGGGATTCACATGCTGACATGGCTTCCTTTGCCTGGGAGATGAGTCAGAGTTTTGGAAGTGGTCCTTGACAAAGCATGTATGATGCAATACTATAGGAATCCTGAAGTCGGTCAAGGCTGTGCTCAAATCTAATCTGGGGGCTCTATTCCTTAGTAACTGTCCACTAAACTTCTTTAGCAGCTACTCCTAGCTTGCTGATTTCTTTTGTGTGATAGGGATCTCTCCACTCACAAATACCACTGTTCTCATTTGGATTTGAAACAATGGGTTTATCTGTTTTTTTCTCGTCATCAGGTTTTTGTTTTGTTTTTTTTTTAAATCTCTATAACCTCAAAACCTAAGCAATGTTTCACTGAAATCCATCAAGTCGGAAACGTTCTTTCTTTCTTTTTCTTTTCTTTTTTTCTTTTTACATTTATTTATGGGGTTGTTTTTGTGCTCATGTGGAGGTCAGAGGCCAACTTGGGGGAGTTGGTTCTCTCTTCCCACCTTGTGGGTCCCAGGGATCAAATTCACATGCTCAGGCTTGGAGGCAAGTGCTTTTTTACTGGCTGAGCCACCTCACCGGCCCTAGTTGAAAACTTTCTATCAAACAGAATTCCAATTTTACTAAAAGGTATCTTTTTCTGGTTCAGCGATCCTAGGAGAGAATTGAAACTGCCTTGCCTTTGAGCATGCTGTCCCTCTCAGGAAGCCCTTCCCTGTGGACTCGCACCAGGCTGGAAACGCATGTCTTCTGGTAATGGTCCCTTCCTGTTGTCACAGCCTGCGGGCTCACTTACTCCTCATCACACACTCTGAGGCTTACAGAATAAGCACACCATTATGCCAGGCTATCACTCTTTCCCAGTGGAAACAACGTGGCCCTTTGTGAGCTCACTTCAAAGGGTGTGGCTCTCATTCAGCGCTCCTAAGGGAAGGGGCTTTGGGAAAGTGCTTGCAGTGCCCTTCCAGCTCTAGACTCTTCTCTAGGGTGTGTGGAGTTAGAGCACGACTTTTCATGAAGCCTTCCTATGGGTGTTTTGTCTACCTTGGAGGAAACACTGTATATTTTCAAACCTCCTGAGAAAACAGTTTTTTGCCAACTTTGTGCCCCCCCCTTACCAAAACCCCCTCTCTTGCTTGGCTTTTGGCCCAGTTCTGAGGCCTGCCTTACTTCTGCCTGGCATTTACTTCATAACAGCTGGCCCAGGGAGCTCAAACACTTAGCCTCAGCTGCCAGTTTAAGGAAGGAGAGGCCCCTGTAGCTGAGCTGTGACAATGATAACATTTGTTCCCACAGTGGTATTCTCAATGTCAACAGCAGTGACAGGCTCCAAAGGGATATTCATGCATCCACTTTTGACTCCTCCCAATGCTGTGAACGAACTAGAAATATGTAGTCACTTTTCCATTCCAAGCTGGGAGAAAACAAAGGGCAGGAGACAAAGGGGTCTGCCTAAGGGGATGATGCTCATTCTCACCAGAACCACAATCAGGACACTTGCCAATTTATTTACTCAGTTAGTAGATAGCTTACCTAACATACATAAAGCCTTGGATTTGATCTCTAGCACTGCATAAACTGATCATAGTGCTGCAGGCTTGGAATCCTAGTCCTTAGGAAGTGGAGTTGAAGGGTATCCTCTATATAGTGAGTTGGAGGGTAACCTAGGCTGTATGAGATCCTGTCTCCAAACAAACCAACCAACCAACGAACAGAAAAGAGATGACTTCTAGGAGGGAAGAGGTGACTCAATACTCTGTAGGAATGTGACAAAAAAAAATTGTATCCAAGACCATCTATATCATCCAGGGAGCTGAGTAGCATTGCTGTGTCTCTTCTCCCAGCAAATGTTGATTGCCTGTGCTAGGCACTAGGACACTAGAATAACTGATGACTCAGAGGAGCACTGGGCTCTTTTTAATTTTCAGAGACAAGATCTCAAGAAATCCAGGCTGCTCTGAAACCCACTGTATAGCTAAGACGACCCTTGTCTTCCTGACTCCACCACTCGAGTACTGGGACTGTAGGCATGCATAACCACACCCGGTTTTATGTAGTGCTGGGGATGGATCCCAGGGCCTTGTGCATGGCAGCTGCTTGGCTTTATGATGTTTATAGTCGGAAGAGGGTACTATCAGTTTTATTGGTGATTTTGGGCTTTGACAAAAACACTAATCTCAGAATTGAGGAGGTTCATGTTTATCCCTGAGCTGGCTAATGGAAAATGGTGTTTTATTTTTGTTTGGATTGTTTTCTTTCTTCTTTTAACTATAGTGATTGGCAAGTACCGAATAACTCACTTTAATTTTCATTCTTCGAGAGGCTATAATTTTTCCATTAATCTGATCAAACAACTTATCATAATATATAAAAATAGCCTCAAGATGTAATTAAGGTTTCCTACCAAGTGATGTTGAGTTTACCAAAGAGGCTTACTCCTGGGTTAGCCATTAATTGGGTGAAAAAGCCATTAAAATAAAGACTGGAGGTCTCTCTGGAGAAAGCATTTCCTGCTGGCCTTGTGGAAGCAGCCACGCCATAAAGAAGAAAGTAGAGCCTTAGGAGGTGAATGTCTGAGTGCTATAGCAGTTTGACTAAACGATGGAAGCAGCTTGGAAAAGGACCTTAAGCACTAGATGAGACTACAGCCCAAGCTTGGTGGTGCTGTGATACCCTGTGATGAACTGTGCCTGGGCTCCAGAGAAACCAAGGAAACTGAGATCACACATAATGATTAGATTTGGGTTGTTGAGGTCTGTTTCTTAACAACCAAAGTGTTTCTAAACTGTGGATGCTCAATAAGTTAAACAGAATTACCATATGACTGAGCGACTCCACTCTTAGGAACAACCATACAATTCAGTTATAACATCCATGGGTATACAAAGGAAGGACTCTCACTCAGCATACTGCAGACCCACACACCTCCATTTTATCAGAGCACTATTCACAGCAGTCAAGTTTCTGAATCAGCCTGGGAATCCATCAACAGATCATGGAATTAAAAATGTACACATACACACAGAGACACACACACACACACACACACACAGAGAGAGAGAGAGAGAGAGAGAGAGAGAGAGAGAGAGAGAGAGAGCGAGGGTTCTGGTTGCTTTGGGCTCTCATTTGCATACTGACTTCTATCCTTTCATTCCTAGTCTCTGTGGATCTTTGCCAGGGAGGTGGACTTTTGTGAACTGTTAATCTTTTTCAATCTATTCAGCCAGTTTGTGTCTCTTAATTGGAGGGTTGGAGCTGTTTACATTTAGGGCTCATTACTAAAAGGCATGTACTGACCCCTCTCCCATTCACTTGAGAGGATTGGCTTCACTAAATTAGTAATGCTTG